ATCTTAATATCTTCTGCTTCTGTTAGATCCATACCATTTCTGTCCTTTATTGAGCCCATCTTTGCATGAAGTGTTCCCTTGGTAACTCTAATTTTCTTGAAGAGATCTCTAGTCTTTCCCATTCTATTGTTTTCCTCTATTTCTTTGCACTGATCATTGAGGGAGGCTTTCTTATCTCTCCTTGCTGTTCTTTGGAACTCTGCATTCAACTGGGTATATCTTTCCTTTTCTCCTTTGTTTTTTCATTTGTCTTCTTTTCATAGCTATCTGTAAGGCCTCCTCAGACAGCCATTTTGCTTTTCTTGCATTTCTTTTTCCTGGGGATGGTCTTGCTCCCTGTCTCCGGTACAGTGTCACGAAGCTCCACCCATAGTTCATCAGGCACTCAGTCTATCAGATCTAGTCCCTTAAGTCTGTTTCCCACTTCACTATAATCCTAAGGGGTTTGACTCAGGTCAAACCTGAATGGTCTAGGGGTTTTCCCTGCTTTCTTCAGTTTAAGTCTGAATTTGGCAATCAGGAGTTCCTGATCTGAGCCACGGTCAGCTCCCAGTCTTGTTTTTGCTGCCTGTATAGAGCTTCTCCATCTTTGGCTGCTATCATAGTCAGCAAAAGAGTCTGAAATGCAGTACTCTGATGCAGTCTCAGAAACGACAGAATGATCTCTGTTCGTTTCCAAGGCAAACCATTCAGTATCACAGTAATCCAAGTCTACGCCGCAACCAATAATGCTGAAGAGACTGAAGTTGAACAGTTCTGTGAAACATACAAGACCTTTTAGAGCTAACACCCAAAAAAGATGTCCTTTTCACTATAGGGGACTGGAATGCAAAAGTAGGAAGTCAGGAGACACCTGGAGTAACAGGCAGATTTGAGCTTGGAGTACAGAATGAAGCAGGGCTAAGCTCATAGAGTTTTGCCGAGAGAACGCACTGGTCACAGCTTAGTTCATATTCCCCTGTAACCTTAGGGACTGGGAGAGGATGGGTGGTCCTCCAGCAGGTAATGAGTTCTAGGGATCTTGTTAAGCTGAAGTTTCAAGAGGTATATGCCCTTTTAGAATTTAAGATGTTGAAGTTTTAATAGATTTTATATTTTCACTCATCTCTCAAGATGGCAGATGCTTGAACATATTGTCATGCCAAGAGGTAGGAATCCGTGGCAAATAAGAGTGAGAGAGTTGAAAATAAGGGAACAATAGGGAAGTTCTTGTAGGTGTGGGAGTGATCTGCAGTAATTTTCTCTAGGCTTAAGAAAATTGTTGAAGAGGCAGATGGATGTCAGTTGGGGCTAGAAATTGGAGGGAACATGTTAGAGAAACATTTGGGAAGGTAAGAGAATGTGTTCAGAAGATAATGTTTAAGGTTCATAACTCACAGTGAAAGACTGTGAGCCAAAGGAAGACATGGAAGGCAGCACAGGAGCATTCTGAGGATGGAGTTATGGTCCGAGAGGAGACCGGAAGGATGCTGATTCGGCAGGGGAATAATGTTACAAGTGGAGCTCTATTCTCTAGTTCTTCACTGCCAGAGCAAGCAGAGTGTCCAGTGTGATTGTAGACTTGTTGACAGAAGCGACTTGAAATCTTGATTCTGTTTATTACTGAAAATAAACTTTAGTAACTCCAAAAGCTCTGTTTATAGGGTTTTAAAGTCTTATCTACACAGAAAGAATAAAATATAGCACATAGTAACATGTGGAGGTTTATTTGTTGAGTCAGAGAAAGTAAAAATATTCATTACGATAATACGTAATTTGAAAAACTAGTTTGTTAGTACCTTGGCAGACAGGAGTGAAAATCTGCATGACTTTAGTGAGTCAGGAAAGTAAGTATGGGTTGTAGCTCAGTAGAAATTGTTACGAGATCGTGCATGTGAAGCAGGGAAATCTAAACATGTGTTAGAGATTCATACTCACTCAAGGCTTTCTGGGAAAAAAACACGAGAATAATGATATATACCATGTATCTACCAATTAAAATATCATAGGTTAATTCAGTTCACATATACCAAGCACCAGTCATACGTAGGGTATCATGTAAGACACTTTTCTATATATTCTTGTGATGAAGTTTTTTAGAAAGTCAGATAATATAACATTTGGAGTCGTTATGGACTAGCAGAAAGAGAGCGCATTTATCAGCCACTATAAAATTAAGTTCTGTAGGTATCTGGTCAGAAGCTAGATGGCCATACATTGCAGAGGCCATCCATAGTCTTGGTCCCTCATGCAGGGCCATCCCTAGGATGTATGGGGCTGCTGTCTATATAAAGAATTTGACTTACTATTGTATTACAGAATTCATGGACTCATGTGAGGTATAATGATTTATTGGTAGAAAATTACAATATTGGGTAGAGAATAAGAACTTCACGTTTGCTGACTGTGCAGTCAGTGAAGCTGAAGACTGCGCGTGGTGTCCAGGCCCCGCGTCTTCCTGCTCTGTCCTAGGCACTCTCTTTTCTTGTCCAGTATTTCAGGTGTCCTTGCTGATTTTGTATCTGCGACCATGAGAAAAGGGGAGCAATGCTGTTGCTGCTCATACAGCCGTGTGTGTGTGTGTATAGTCGCTCAGTCGTGTCCGACTCTCTGCGACCCCATGGACTGCAGCCCGCCAGACTCCTCTGTCCGTGGGATTCTCCAGGCAAGAGCACTGGAGCGGGTTGCCATTCCCTTCAAGGGATCTTCCTGACCCAGGGATCGAACCCAGGTCTCCTGCATTGCAGGCAGATTATTTACTGTCTGAGCCACCCATAAAGCCATGGCTCATCTAAAACAGCCAAGAAACAAAAAAAAAATGCTAATTTTAATTTTAGGGTTTTTTTTCCCCCGAGTCTATTTTTTTTGGACCAGAATCAACTATGTGGTTTGTAGTCTCAGTGCAAAGCAAAGTGCAGGGCCCTTTGTTTGAAAATTAAGGTTTTCGATGTGGAGCCGAGGCTCCTATCTGGACGTGAGAGGTCTGGCCTCACTGAAACGTGCCCTTATACCCTCTGCCACCCGCCCGGTGCTCTGTGGGGTGGCGGGCATGCACTGCCGGCCCCAGCGTTCCCTGTACCAGCACTCGGGCCCTGCCAGGGCAGAGGGCAGAGGGCAGCAGCAGTCGCTGGGCGGGAAGGGAGGGGAGGCTGGGAGGGCCGGGGCGGCAGCCAAGAAATGATAGAAGGAGGCGCGACACCTTCGGGCTGAAGTCACCGGTCCCAGAGCTAACCTGACAAACCACAAGTTCTTAGTAGAATCGTTACGCACTGTCAGGCGGCAACCATGGAACACTGAGCCCCGAAGGGGAGCCCTCTGAGCACAAGGCCCCATGTGTCGGTCCATGGAGCAGGCCCTGCCTCGACTCCTCGCCGCTGTGCGCTGTGAGTGTCAACTGACGCCGCTGAAAGCACCCCAGAATCGCGCAGAGTGTGACGGAGGAACAGACCTGCCACAGATAACTTAGGCTTTGGATAACACGGCATATGACAGGATATCAAGAATTGATAGTTCGTATTTCAGTGAAGTTATTAGTTAACTGTTGACTGACTATTATGACAGACCCAGAGGCTAGGGTGTGGGTTTGGAGGAGGATGGCCAGGAAGGGCTCACCGGGGTTGAAAGATAGAAACATTGGGAACTGAAAAACAGATCATGCTGTCTCTACAATAGAGGTGTGAACAAGAATAAGAACAGCAGGAAAAGTGGGAGTAAATAAATCAACCTTGATGGCTACTGCAGAAAACCCTTTTAGGAAAAAAAATGACTTTAGTCTGGCCAAGACTGGTAGTATTGCAAGTGCCAGAGGCTAAGCGGCAGACATTCCAGACTAGGAGGACAGTGTAAGCGAAGACAGTGGAATGGAGAACATGCCGATGGATGTGCCCACATGCTGGGATTTTCAGGCATTCTTTTATTACCGTCCTTGAACATCTATTTTCCAGGCGCAAGCAGGGGTTATAAGGATATAGGTTAAAGGAATCAGACAAAGCTCCACTGCTTACGAGCTGTGTGACCAGAGACTTGAGTTGACCGCTCTGAGCCTCTGTTTTAGTCCTCTGTGAAATAAAGACATGGGTTTTACAGAATTATTATAAAAATTAAATGAGGGGATGTCTGTAAATACTCCAACCAGTACCCTCCACCCAGTGAAGGAGAAAGCAAATAGATGTGATTACACGTGCTGTGAAAATACAGAAAGGAAAGTGACTGTCTCTGCCTGAGGGTTTAGCGCTGTGCTTCCTGAAAGAGATGGTATTTGAACTTGGAGCTGAAGGGCAAGTGTGTGTTTATAAGCCAAGGGAAAGCTGAGAAACGTTCTCTCAGGCTGAGGTTTAGAAACGATGAATCCCTTTTATGAGCTGTTTGGGGTTGGGAGACACGGAGCAGTGAGAGGAAGAGAAAGCAGACCATATACACATCTATAGACAAAAACAGAATAACCTTTCATTACCACCCCAGACCCCTTTTAGCCGATTCAAAACATCAGACTCTTCCACCAAGAAGAGGCAAGAGCCGTTCTGTGCTGAGCGCTCCCTCGAGTAAGGTGCAGACCAGTTTGCATGCGAGCTTCTGTAGATGTTCTGTGCATTTTCTTCCTCTACAAGAAGGCTGGAGCTGAGAGGGAGACAACACTCAGGAAATGCCGTTGCTTTTCCCATCCTCACATGGAACAGTCTGCTTCACTGGCAGACATTTAACCAGACACGATTGGCTCTTTTAAAAATAGGAGTCTGCAAGTGCTCGGGCCTGGTGCACTGGGAAGACCCAGAGGGATCGGGTGGAGAGGGAGGTGGGAGGGGGGACCGGGATGGGGAACACATGTAAATCCATGGCTAATTCATTTCAATGTATGACAAAAGCCACTGCAATGATGTAAAGTAATTAGCCTCCAACTAATAAATATAAATGGAAAAAATTAAAAAAAAATAAAAATAGGAGTCTGAGTGGTCTTGGTTGGTCTGTTTTATCATGGACTTTGTGCTTTAAAGTGCGTGTCTTTTTCTGTCTTCTCCCTCCAGACTGAACACTTGCCTCTGCAGACTCAGTTCAGAGAAAGAGAGACTGGAAGTGTCCAGCGCCCTGTAAGTAACAAGATCCTCTCACAGGGTCAGCCCGGGTGGAGCCAGCGACACCATGTTTATTAACAGATCGTTTTATTTCCATGCAATTTCCTCTTCTTCACCTCTGCTATCTGAGCACCTGTAGTGTGGTTTTGCAAAGTCCTTGAGCTGGTTTATTCCTCTTAGAAGTAATCAAGTCGCATGAAACCAGTAACCTGGCAGAGGGTCAGCACCAGAGACGACAGGAGCCCCAGGGAGGTCCATTTTATGGTGGCAGCTGTGACCCAGAGTCAAGCAAGGAAGAAAGGGCAAGACAAGAGGCTGTTTTTCGAAAGCATTTCTTGTTCTCAGCCGTGGTGGGTGTGCAGTCAGATATTATCTATGCATTTCACTGTCTCTCCCCGCTAATTCCCCAGTTCTGGATCCTGAGGCTTCTTTTGGTTTGGTTTTGGTTATTTGATTTACATCTCTGTATTATCTCATGCATGGATTCCAAGCTTGAGCCTTGCTGAGAGACTCCTGCAGTTCACAGCCTTGTTTTTCTCCACTTTACCTTAACTGATACCAGCTCCAAATTTCAAAGCCTGAAACTGACCACAGTCCCCATTAGTCACAGTTTTCTGTTTAGGAGATGCCATCACTCTTAGGTATTATAAGCAACAAGTGACTAGAAAATGATGAGCTATTGAACTTCATCTTGCCATTCAGTAAATAGCTTGTGTGTAATGAATTCTGTGCTTGCCTGTCTTTACCCAAGAGATAGAAAAAATGCAAACAGCTGCTCAACTAATGTAAGCAATGTTTGAATTTTTAGAATGGACTGAACAGCAGGAGATTCGACTGTGAAGATGAGAATTCAGTAGGGGAGGACGGGACTCGGCAGATATACCCCCTGTATGATCAGATGCGCTACCCAGACGGGAGCCCTGGCAGACACCATCCATGTAGCGACCTGGAGGGCGTCTACATCAACCCGCGAGAGCATTACGTGTGAAGGTCCTGTTTCTCCAGTGCTGTTTTAGCAAATGTTTACTCTTGGGTTGGGGGGAGAGAAACCGAGGCCAATAGTTATGCTTTTGTTCTCTCTGATATAAAGCAATCCCAGTCTAAGTGTATCAGAAGTTGTGATGAATGACTTGGCACCAAGAGCGAATTTCTTTTCATTAAGAGTTTCTTCGCCACCAGCTGTGTTTGTGAACTTGACTCTAGCTTTGTGTGTTTCTGTGATGATGGCGTTTAACTACTAACATTTGGCCCACAATGGCATGTTCATTTAAAAGCAGAGCATCTGCCTGGGATGACAGCAGTGATTCTCCAGAAAGAAAGGCCGCAGCTGGGAATACTAACCTCGCTGGGCCTCAGGCAGACCAGCCTGTTCATCTGTAATTCAAACAGGCAGAAAAAGGAGCTCAGACTCCATCTCACTAATACTTCATGGAATTTGGGCTTTCCTGACCTGTTTAGTACAGTTACAATACCTGCTTACAAATAAGAGGCTAAGAGGCATACTTTATTGTTTACCCCAAAAACATAACAAAAGGCGGTTTAAACCTTCAGGTCTGTTGGTTGCTTTCATACTCCTGTGATATTGTCCAGTGTGTTCCTTCCTGTGATCTCAGGATCACCAAGGTCTGAGGGACGCATACTTCTTGCAACCATCGACCTAGTCTTGAGGAACTGTGTGCTGACTAAGGTTCTTCTCTTACTTGGTCATTGTTCCCACAGTTCTGTTCTTTGCAGTCCAGATTAGCCTGTTTCCCACCTGTTAAAATCTAAAAGCCCATTCTAAATGGTGGACAGCCTTGAACCTTTTCCCTCTTTTCTGGGGTATTGTATTTGACAGGCTCACCTTTCACTACTGAAATTTCTTTCAAACTAATCCTGTCCACACACGCTTCAGCTACCCTCTGCATTCTTCAGACTTCTTATGGTCCATGTTTTATCTACCTCAGGGGAAAAAAAAAAGCCTGGTGGAAAAAGCACCATGAAATAACCCTTGCTCTTAAAAGCCAGGTCAAAAATCTGAAAACCTAAAAGTAAAACAAAACAAAAAAGCCCCATTAATATGGCCTGTGTGCTAAACCCACATGTGGTCCTTGATCCTTCCTCAGCATCTTTACCTGGTCAACAATAAGAGGAAGGAGATGCTAGCAGCCGATATTACAGTGACTGGCTTACTAGTGTTTCCTGCAGCATCTTGGCGCCTGCCAATGTCTGTCTGGAATATTCTCACTTCCCTTTGCCAGCTTTTCCTCACTGAGCCCTGAAGCTAGCAACTACGATGGGGTGAGCGGACTGGGGAGCAGAGGGACACGTGCAGGTGTCAGCCTCCCGTCCTCACGTCTTGGACAAGCATTGCTTACTATGAGTTCTGGAAGCCTATGGGTCTGTCACAGATAGGAAAACACTGCAGACTTGTCATGTGTTAGGAAAGCATGACGTAAGCACTGAAATAAAATAGTACACATTTCCAACCTAAGCTTCAAGGGCTAGGAGAATATTAACATAGATTTGTAATGGGATGCCAAAGATAAGTTATGATTCACATTGCTCTGACTCTGTTTCTTGCTTGTGTATTTATTTCCTTTCTTCAGTTGCCTTGCTTTGTCAGAAAAATTATCCAAGTTGTTCTACAGTAGTAATACAACGCCACCCTCCTTTACATGATGACCAGCAGTTCTGTAAAAGATTATGGTTGTTGTTCACTCGCTAAGTCATGTCCGGCTCTGACCTCACGGACTAGCCTGCCAGGCTACTCTGTCCTTGGGATTTCCCAGGCGAAAATGCTGGAGTGGGCTGCCATTTCCTTCTCCAGGGCATCTTCCCGACCCAGGGGTGGAACCTGCATCTCTTGCGTTGGCAGGCAGACTCTTTACCACTGAGCCACCTGGAAAGCCCCAGAAGGTGACAGTTAAATGGAATCAGAGAGTGAATGCCAGGGACCGTCACTGCTGTATCACTGCACTACCTCAAAGTTCGTTCACTGCCCTTGCTAGCGAGCTGGCACAGGAAGAAGGCACCTAGCTTTATTACTGGGAGCCCCATCAGTGAGTTAATGTAACCGGAGGCATAGGGGTCCTTGCAGTGTCTTCCAGGAGAAAGTTGGCTCTAGTCAGAGCTCTCCGTGACAAGGAAGTGGTTTATACATACTGGATGTTACAGTGGAAGATATGGAGGTGCAGTCGCTCCGTTAGTGAGCTCTAGAAATTGGGGATGGTTTCTTGGGTCCTGGTGGGAAGCAAATTGTTGGATTAGTGTTACAAAAGAAGACCTTGGACCTCAGGGGAAATTGAGATGTCTTCGTTGGCACTGGGAAGAGAGACTGGAAGCACTGAGCTTCAGAACCCTTTGGCCTGTCTTTCTGCCTCCCTACCAACAAGTAGCCACTATTGCAATTTTTGACATTCTTGGTGTAGTTATAGAAAAGAAATCTCAGGGTGTAGACTTCTCTTGCAACAGCCAGCTAGTTCAATATCCTCTTTGCTTCTCTGTCAGCTATGATATTTCTTTAACAAACTGGTAGATTTTATAGCTGTTGGCCCCTTACATGGGTCACAGAAGCTATATAATTGCTTATCCTGGTGCCTTCCATCTGTTCTCTCTAAATACTGAGGGGAATAGAACGGAGCTTTAAAAGGGTTTGATCAACAAGCTCCCTCAAGCAAAAAATGCCATCCAAAATTAGCTTGTTGATCTCTAAATTTGGAGTCTAGACCACTTGAGGATGGACAGTTAAATTTGGAAGTCAGACTCTTTAAGGTCCGTAAGTGAGGCTTAAGGATGTAAGCCACAGCTGATACTAGATACTCTTCCCATAACTGGTTTATTAAAACACACTGAACCAGAAATAAATCCCAGAGTGTTTATCCACTTATGCTTGCAGCTTTGCATTTCAAGGGGGAGTGTGCATGCTCCATCTTAAACACACAGCCTAGATTTTGTAGATGGCCTAACCTCCAGGAGCATGCATCATCGCTGCAATAGCAGACCACCCGGTTCTTTGCACTCTACACTAAACTAGTGTCAGCATCACTTAGGATTGCTCTGACATAATGGGATAAGAATTTAGATTAATTCTTCAAAGGCAGTGGTTTGTTTTCTCTTCTATGAGGGTTCCTCTATCCTTGGCTTTCTTATACGTTCTATTCAATTTTAGAACATGTAAGAAGGCCAAGGATAGAGGAGCCTGGTGGGCTACAGGCCATGGGGTCGCAGAGTCAGACATGCCTGAGCAGCTGAGAACACACACGTAAGAAATAGTGTCAGAATATGCTAGTTAACTTTGAAGACTCTTAGCTGTCCTTGGCTTCCCTGTGACATGCACATGTGTGTGGGGGGAGGGGAGGTCAGTGAAATGAACGTGGAAATGTCAGGACTCCTGCCTGTGGTTCAGCTCTGTGCTTCTCTTGTTCCTGTGATGAACTGGCAACAGTGGGCAGTTTGTAGAAATTGTTGTTTGTAAGCCTGTTCAGCTGTGGACTATGCCTGGGTTCATCTTATGGCCCTTGAGGGGTATTTGTGTTCCTTCCATTAAAACTGTTGTAAGCTGGACTTTGTCAGTTTGGTCACTTGCAATTATTAGGTGGTTTGGTGGGCTTCTGACTGATAGCTCAGCTGGTAAAGAATCCGCCTGCAATGCGCGAGACCTGGGTTTGATCCCTTGGTTGAGAAGATGCCCTGGAGAAGGGAAAGGCTACCCACTCCAGTATTCTGGCCTGGAGAATTCCGTGGACTGTATAGACCACGGGGTCGCAAAGAGTCGGACACGACTGAGCGACTTTCACTTTTGGTGGCTTCCAGTAGATGAGGGCTGTAGATCTCCTTCCCGCAACCTTGCTAGGTGGTATATTACACAGAAATCAGGTTTTAAGCCAGTGTCTGCATCATTCATGTACATATACAAGCAGGCACCAGAACAGACATCCTACAATAGTCAACCTGTCATGTAAGCTTGAAAAAGTCCCCACTCCATTCTTGTAGAGAACCCACCAATATTTTGTGTAAAAGGGTTATTAGAAGTGAATTATTAGAAGTTATTAGAAGTGAATCCAGTAATACTACAGCTGATTCAGTGTCAGGCAGCCTGATTCTGTTCAACTTCTAGACCCAGAGCAGGTTAGTGATCTAGGAATCCTGGAGCTCGTGGGCTTGCTAGCACTGTATGCCCTGTTTGTGAAAGGGGGGAGCGCCTTGTAGGATGTTTGCCAGTCCACATATCTTTAACACCATTAATTTGACCGCTGATAATAATCACCTATTAACAAAGTCTCTGGTGCTGAATTCTTGTGGTAGTAGCCTCTGAAGTGAGCTTTTCGAATGCTAACTAACAACCTTTGGATGGTGTATTCCCAACTAGGAAATTTCAAATGTTAGCTAAATGCTTCCAGGGTGTATGGTTAAGACCATTTAACAAGTGCCGAAATAATTTTTTTTTTGGTTGATATTATTTTTATTTATTTATTTATTTCCATTTATTTTTATTCGTTGGAGGCTAATTACTTTACAATATTGTAGTGGTTTTTGCCATACATTGACATGAATCAGCCATGGATTTACATTTGTTCCCCATCCTGATCCCCCCTCCCACCTCCCGCTCCATCCCATCTCTTTGGAATGGAGAGATGCACCAGCCCTGAGCACCCGTCTCATGCATCCAGCCTGGGCTGGTGATCTGTTTCACCCTTGATAGTATACTTGTTTCAGTGCTATTCTCTCGAAACAGCCCACCCTCGCCTTCTCCCAGAGTCTAAAAGTCTGTTCTGTATATCTGTGTCTCTTTTTCTGTTTTGCATATAGGGTTATCATTACCATCTTTTTAAATTCTATATATATGTGTTAATATTGCTTCACTCTGTATAATGGGCTCCAGTTTCATCCATCTCATTAGAACTGATTCAAATGAATTCTTTTGAATGGCTGACTAATATTCCATGGTGTATATGTACCACAGCTTCCTCATCCATTCGTCTGCTGATGGGCATCTAGGTTGCTTCCATGTCCTGGCTATTATAAACAGTGCTGCGATGAACATTGGGGTACACGTGTCTCTTTCAGATCTGGTTTCCTCGGTGTGTATGCCCAGAAGTGGGATTGCTGGGTCATATGACAGTTCTATTTCCAGCTTTTTAAGAAATCTCCACACTGTTTTCCATAGTGGCTGTACTAATTTGCATTCCCACCAACAGTGTAAGAGGGTTCCCTTTTCTCCACACCCTCTCCAGCATTTATTGCTTGTAGACTTTTGGATAGCAGCCATCCTGACTGGCGTGTAATGGTACCTCATTGTGGTTTTGATTTGCATTTCTCTGATGATGAGTGACGTTGAGCATCTTTTCATGTGTTTGTTAGCCTTTCTGTATGTCTTCTTTGGAGAAATTGCATTCAACATAACAGAATTTCTTAAGGGCTCCTTGTTACCACACCTTCCCGCTGGGATGCACTGTCTTCGCTGCTCTAAAGTCAGCCACCTGATGGCATTTCTCCTAGTGACAGGCTTTCCCTTCTTGGGATGGGCGTGTGCGTGTGTGCATGTGCGTGTGCATGTGTGTGTGTGTGTGTGCATCAGAGACAGAGAAAGACTGAGGGGAGAAGCCCACTTAAAATCCGCAGTTGAAAAACATTTTGGAGCTCACACGTGCAAGAAAACCCTCACATCTGCAAACATCTGTTTCAGGCCCATTTTATTATCTTGCTGTAGCATTTTTTTAAAATAATACTTTAGAATTATTTCTGCAAAAATATTAGAAGTAGGTTCAGAAGCCTTTTTGTCTCAATGGCCAAAATATATAAAGTATTAGGTTTATTTCCACTCTATTTCCATTTATTAGGGTAGGTATTCTCTAGTCATGTTTCTTTGATTGTGGACATTTGGAACTGAGTAGACTAGAATAAAGAGAATGCCAGCAATTCAGATGACACTATGCATCTTTTTATCAAACGTTATCAATTGAGACTATGATATAGAAGTTCCTTCTATATTTCAAGGAGAAGGGAAACCATCATTGACAAAGAAAAGGATTCTCCATGCCATAGATTGGGAATAAATCCCTTCCATTGGTCCATTCCCCCAGAATATTCTAGTCAGTGTTTGGGGGATAAGGCCATGATGTATATCAAATTACATACCTACATATCGCCCTCACCAAAAGTTTGGTTCAGTCACTCAGTAATGTCCTACTCTTTGCATCCCCGTGGACTGCAGCACGCCAGGCTTCCCTGCCCATCACCAACTCCCAGAGCTTACTCAAATCCATGTCCATCGAGTCAGTGATACCATCCAACCATCTCATCCTCTGTCGTCTCCTTTTCCCGCCTTCAGTCCCTCCCAGCATCAGGGTCTTTTCCAGTGAGTCAGTTCTTCACATCAGGTGGCCAAAGTACTGGAGTTTCAGCTTCAGCATCAGTCCTTCCAATGAACACCCAGGTCTGATCTCCTTTAGGATGGACTGGTTGGATCTCCTTGCAATCCAAGGGACTCAAGAGTCTTCTCCAACACCACAGTTCAAAAGCATCAATTCTTCAGTGCTCAGCTTTCTTCACTGTCCAACTCTCACACCCATACATGACTACTGGAAAAACCATAGCCTTGACCAGACGGACCTTTGCTGACAAAGTAATGTCTCTGCTTTTTAATATGCTGTCTAGTTTGGTCATAGCTTTTCTTCCAAGGAGTAAGTGTCTTTTAATTTAATGGCTGCAGTCACCATCTGCAGTGATTTTGGAGCCCCAAAAAATAGTCTATCACTGTTTCCATTGTTTCCCCATCTATTTGCCATGAAGTGATGGGACCAGAGGCCATGGTCTTAGTTTTCTGAATGTTTAGTTTTAAGCCAACTTTTTCATTCTCCTCTTTCACTTTCATCAAGGGGCTTTCTGTTCTTCTTCTCTTCCTGCATATCTGAAGTTATTGATATTTCTCCTGGCAATCTTGATTCCAGCTTGTGCTTCATCCAGTCCAGCGTTTCTCGTGATGTACTCTGCATATAAGTTAAATAAGCAGGGTGACAACATACGGCCTTGACGTACTCCTTTCCCTATTTGGAACCAGTCTGTTGTTCCATGTCCAGTTCTAACTGTTTCTTCTTGACCTGCATACAGGTTTCTCAAGAGGCAGGTCAGGTGGTCTGGTATTCCCATCTCTTTCAGAATTTTCCACAATTTGTTGTGATCCAAAAGTTCTAGTTATATGCAGTATCTGTCACCTCTAGCTGTGAGGTGTAAGGATAAATGCCTAAGTTTCAGATGTTGTGAATATTTATGGAAAACAGCAGCACCTCCATGAGTTATAGGTTGGCCGGGCCCTATCCTCTAAGGACTCGAATTCTAGAACTGTGTTGTTTACCGTTGCCACTTGCATACAATTTATAGAGGAGGTGTATCATTTACTGAGTGCACGCGCACACACACACACAGGTCATTTAGACCCAAGGAGATAGACTAATGGACTTGAAATTATTACTGGATTACAACTGTGATCCCAAACAATCTTCAGCAAACAAAAACCAGCTGAAATGTTTCAATGTTTCACTCCATCTAGAGGTGGGAGACTGAACAGTTCCCTTCTGAGGTTTCTCCCAGCATTACCATTTAAAGATTTTATGATCAGGTTCCCAGTGGCCCAGCAGGACCCTGAACCGGTTGCATTTATTACTGTGGCACAGGATTGAAGTGTAAAGTTGATTGGAGGAGACTGCAGGGGAAACCCCTTGGGAATCCAGAACATCAGATTTGCTACACTGGCTTAGAACTGTGGCCTATCCTGCTACAAATATGTCTGACAGCCATAAATAAATGTCTTATGTGTCTCCTCCAGAGGTTAGGAATGTATTTCAAGCATTCGTAATGTCCCCTAATAACTCACAGTGGGTTTATAAAGCCCAGAGTTCCATTGATTCCCAAATGCATGGGCACCATTGTTTTAGCTTTCATTATTCTTGCCAATAATCACCAGCTTTTCTTTTTCTTTTTTTTCTTTAACCCACCCTAACTCATTGATCAGGCTAAATTAAATTCCTCTCAGAAGTCATGTTGCTGGCTCCATGTCCATCATATTTTAGCTACAGGCAGCATTATTTTGTCGTAAATGCACACTGTGGCTTATTAATGCCTCTGTTTTTTCATGTGGTCTTATGAGATCTTACTGCTATATTCCCTTCAACGGAGCATTTCAATTCCCGGAAGAACATTTGTCATCTTAGGTTTCACTATGTACTTGAAATTCCAAGTTCTTTGTAGAAAAATGTTAAGTAGGTGGTGGTGTTACTGGATCCCTGGATTATTCCACTTGTCCGTCCAGAAAAGTTCCTGTTTATCCTTTACCTTCTGGTTCTATTTCTAAGCCAGAGCTTTAAGGCGTCACATCTGCTCCAGCCTGTTCGTTCTCCCTGTGGTGTTAGCCTCTTAACTTCCTTACTTCTCACTCGCGTCCCTAGTAAAGTTGGCGCTCTCCACCTCACCGGAGTTTTATGGAGCGCGGGGGGAGTAAGATGCTTAAGGGTTGTCTTTAAGAGAGCTCCTACTTTTAAAGTGATTTTGTAAAAGCCCCTTGGCTTAGAAATGCGAAACTCTATAGCTCTTATTTTTTCCTGTCCTTGTTTTGCTGTTTTTATGTCTGAAAAGTGATCTCTGTCTGAATAGAGTCTGTACCCTGGTTTTAACTTTCTTCTCATTAACCCCTTTCACACTGAAATTGTCCTCTCTACTTTGTCCACGCTGTGAACGTTTTACCTACAGAGCCAAAAGTAGTTCTCCCACAATATTTCCCACATCGCTTACTTCCATCGTTGAACAAATTAATGTCCCCCAGAAAGAGGAATCTGGCTGTGGATATAAGAAGTCAGAAGGTAAATGAGGTCTCACTCTGGCCCTGGTGAGATCTCACTGTGGTGCCTTGGTTCTCCCCTTATAAACTGAGGTTAATTCTGCTGTTTGACAACACCTGGGTGGTGTTAATCTTGACCAAAAAAAAAAGGATGAAAAGCTATTTTCAAATGTCTTATACTATATATATATATAAATGCATAGTGAATAATCTGGAGAGTCCTCAAGTAGAAATATGTTCTTGTGTAGCTCAATTGAAAACACTAGTCCACCCATTGTTTTCAAAAGAAATGTTTTACTAATCTGTTCTTTTTTTTTAAAGTGAAAATTAGTTTCTAATCATTTGAACTATTTTAATTTTTCAGTATGAAAGAGATCAATAGTATACAGAAAATACCCAAGTTATATTTTAACTGTTAAAAATGAAGGGGTTGCATACGGTAGTGAGGTAAGGAGGATTCTAGAGCAAATGTATCGAGATATAGAAATACAGAGATTAGCTTTGGTTTTGAGATTGTATTATAAATAGTAGATGTTAATGTGGTTGTTTTTAGATACTCTTTATTTTTAAGTTACCAGAAATTGTCTTTTATTTTTGCAGTTTTGAACTATGTGGTTCTTGATGTGTTTTGAATAAAGTTTTTATATCAACTAAACTTTTTCATTTTCATTATTGATAAATCAAGTATGATTAAAATACATATGAAGATTAATAGCCTAATTACATGACTATAAAATTCAAGATTTAAAAAACATCTTTCATAGAAGTAGTAAATTTCTGTACTGGAGTCCTTTTTTAAAAATGATTTTAACAATAGCAACAGGAGTACTTTTATACTTCAAGCAATATTGTAAATATTTTTTAAAACATGATAAGTTAAATATTATTGTAATTGCTTGTGAAAATTACTTAATACTTTTTAAATTTATTCCATTTAAACTGAATTTATTCCATTTAAAAACTCTTCTTCATTCCTGATTAGTCTTTAGGTGTTAAAATGTTCCTTCTTTTATGAAATGGTGTTCGTGCTAGATGATAAATTTTAATATGTTCTTAATTTTTTTTAACTTGGCATTTCTGTATTATTTTAGGGATGGATGCTTTACCGATCTGTTAAATCTCAAAATAGGAACCACTTTAAAAGAAACATTTTACTGGGATACCATAATCTTCATACTCTTAAATTCTAACAGTCATTGCTTTTTAGTTATTCAGAGAATTTTGTGATCATCATCAAAGTCAGTTTTAGAATATTTCCATTGCCCCAGAAAGAAGCCCACTCCTGCTTGCTCCTTCGTCCATCCCCCTTCCCCTTCCCAGCCCCCGGCAACACCAGTCTACTTTCTGTCTCTGTGAGTTGGCCTATTGGGGACATTACATGTAAATAAAATCACATAATACGTAGGCTGCTTTCACTTGGCCTAATGTGTTCAAAGTTCAATCATGCTCCAGCATTTATCATTCATTTGTTTTTATTGCTGAATAATATTCCATTGTATAGATATTCCACATGTATCCATTCCTCAGTTGAGGAACATTTGGGTTGTTCCTACTTTCTGGAAAGAATTATGCATTATTCATGTACAAGTCTTTGTGTGCACATGTGTTATTTTTCTTCCACATATACCCAGGAGTGGAACTGCTGGATCATGTGGAGGCTCTGACTGAGCCTTCTGAGGAACTGCCAGACTATTTGCCAAAGCTGCTGCACCATTTAAATTCCTCCCAACCATGTTCGAGGGTTTCAGTCTCTCCACATTCTTACCAACGCTTGTTGTTATCTGCTCTGTTTGATTATGGCCATCCTAGTAGATATGAAGTGCTATCTCACTGATTTTTTTTAATTTCCCTGACTGCTAATGATGGTTTGTTTTTTTTTTCTACAGTCCTTTAAAAATGTAAACTCATTCTTAGCTCATGGGTCATATTGCAGGCTGGATTTTTTGACCCATAGTTAGCTAACCTCTGACCTAGAGGATAAAGAAAGATCATTAAACCAGTATTATAAATACACTCTGTATGTTCAGCAACGTAGAGAAAAGCATGAGCCATGTGCCAAAGAAAATGAAATACTTAGGTATAAATTACATGAAACCTATATAGGGTCTCAGTGATGAAAATTATAAAATGCTGATGAAAGACGTCAAAGAAAGCCTAAGTAAGCAGAGAAACTTACCATGCTCACGGATTGGAAGCTCAGTTGGGAAGGGACATAGCCAAGTGGCACCTGCAAGCTGGTGCCACCTGACTGGTACACTGCTGACACAGCCCGTCTCTAAGTGCACGCAGGACATAGAGACATCAGAAACCAGAGCTGCCATCTTCCGACTGTCATGGGTCTTCCCCGCCACGCCTGTCTGTCCTTCCGACTGTCATCGGTCTTCCCCACCAAGCCTCTCTGTCCTTCCGTCATATTGTTAGACTCCCGAATAGCTTTGGCTCTTTCTCAGCCTTCATTCTCTGAAATCATGGCCGTGTTGCCCCAAGACAGGTAAGTGCATCCCTGCGCACTTCCCAGAATGTCAAAACACTGTTGGAATGAAGTCAGAACAACAAAGGTGAACATGTTATATTTTAATTGGGTGTTGAATGGATAGGAAATAGCCAGTAAACAAAAGAGCAGACATACTCTACACAAATAGTTGGTTTGGAGAAGAATTCGAATTAGGAGTCAAAAAAATTGGGTATGATGATTGTTCATGTTTAGATAACAGAATCATGAACTCTTGCAGTTAAATATTTTTGCCTCTGAATTTATTCTCCCCAGAGGTTCTGGGAAAAGCCTTGA